CAATAGGAAAGGAAACATCACGGTGAAGGAAGAAAGAGCAGATAGAGAAGAACCCCAAATCCAAGAATATGAGCAAAAATGTTGACGCCTTCATTCACTATCTAAAACGACGATTATGTCAATCTGCTTCAAGAATCGTTTTCCTTATTACGGCCTCGGTGTTTAGGTTCTGAATTCTGATCAACGCTGATGAAAAAACGTTTGACGTTCATGATCATAGAGTGGATAGTCAGTTCATTGTACGGAACCAGTATAACTGTGGGAAAATAGTAATGTTGCCGATCATTCAAGACTCTCAAACTGAATAATATGTTGTATTGCCCTATAAACTTTTCTCGATCTCGTGAAAATTCATGCTTCAAGAATTAATTTTTCTATTCTTCTTGCAATATTGGAGTTTAGGTTCTGATCATGCAGAGAAATCTAGAAATCCATGATCCTGGTGGATATTAATTTTACTGTATGTGATCAGTATAATACTAAAAAAAAATCTTAATATTGTTCATCAGACAAGAGTAGAATGATTGTTTGGAATAACTGAAAGTACTAGAAAGTAGAATACAGATAAAGATGAGAGGAATCCTCTTCGCCATTACCATAACCGTCATCGTCACACCAAAACAATAGTTTCACTAAACATGCAAGATTTGTACAAATTGCTCATGCACAGCACATATATTGAGTTAATGACACTCCATCATATTAAACCATACTGCTCATGAGATTTCAACTTCTATCATATAACATTACGGCTTCTCAGTTTGATCATGCGACTCAGAGCAGTTGGTTGATCTTTTTAGTGGGTTAAATTGATAATGTCATCTTGAAGTTATAAAAATAAGATGCTGGGATCATATGATAAAAACCATGGTTTTATACTTTTATTATTAGAGTGGGAAGTTAAAATCCCAAGATCTTTGGACCAAAAATTATATCAATTCAAGCTTTCTTGGAAAAAAAAAATGTCAACAAAACCCAAGTTATAAGAGTTTTCGTGATGGAGTTTCAAATGAGACTTTTGGACCCTTAAGTGTTACCACCGTCAAGTTATTTACCATTACGATCTTAGGTTGCACATTGAGGAAACACCTACACCAACAACATAATATTTTATGTTACATATTTTTTACATTATATAGTAATACAACAATATACATTGGATTTGGTGTATTTCTGGATTATCTTAATTGCATATGATTTTTTTTATATAACATTACGTACATATGTATATTGTAAAAATGTTGTTTAGTTTAATAAATTTAATTATATAAAATATTTGATAAAAATAACACGTGAATGTTTTTGGTCAATTAGATATATTGTATTACAAAGAAATTAGGGATACACTATTTTTACCGATATGGAAACAACTGTGACATGAAATCAAAACATGCCACAATTGCAAGATCTAAAACAAGGGTGTGTTTCACTACATGATGAGTTATCACGTTTTTCTAACGATCTATAAACTGAAGCCCAATAACCACATCAAACACCACATACGAAACAAACCATCTCACATGACATTGGAGGACTTCTACCTACGTGAAAACAAGGCAACTAATCACAAAAAATTAGTTGAATCCTCAAAATGACTCTCTTACACACAACACTAGAACAATTGGACATTCTAAGTAGAGAAAGAGAGAAGTCGTCGAACTTGCAATGTTAGAGGAAAATGTAGGAACAAGTGCTCCATCGACTCCAACTTCTTACCACAAATTGGACAAGTTATTAGCACATGAATGTCTTGCTCTGCCAAGGCCACCTAGTTGGTAGGATCCGCCACAACATCTGCCACCTGAAAACCTCAACTTCGGAGGAACGGAAGGGCCAACACATTAAGCCACAAACCTCGATATAAATGTGAATCTGCAGGCCCGAGTCCCAAGTAATCTCCTGGAAGACCATGTGATAGCCAGATTTAACTATGTACTTTCCCAAAACCTCACAATCCCAAACAATTCGATCATCCACTCCAAAAAAGAATAAAGAATATTCACAATCGCAACTATTTTCTTTAGAGTAAATAAACAATTCAGGAGGTCTACCTCCCGAAAACCTCGCGGGTTGTAGGTGAAAAGAGCGGACAACCATTGATTGCATAACATATTCGCGACTCACTAGGTTTGATCCACTTCCTTCTTCAAAAGTTTATAAATAGCCCCCTTGCTTGCAAGTTGCATCGCCACTGAACACCACCACACTCTCCTCCCTCTCTTCCTTTCACCAATAAAGGAAAATCACAGTGTGCTCTGTAGTTGCGGCTAACCCGATCTCCCACACTAGATAAGTGTTCCTTGAGTTGGTTACCTCAAGTCACCCCCTCAAAACTCCCTACGAACCTCTGTCCAAACTGTGCCAAATTAAGACGGAAGAAAAGATCTCATGGTATCGTCTTGTTTTTTCCTACTCTATTATTTATTATTTAGTATATTTGTTGTGCATATTTTATATTATGATTTATCAATGAGAATCATGCGTTGGGTGCTATAATACCAATTATGTCTTAAGAATTTTAACCATGATTGATTGTTGGAAATCAATTTTTGTGCATGTGAACTCTTTAAGATTTTGCGATTCGTGATTATTGAATTTTGAAAATAATTTCCAACCAACCAAGGATTTCTTAGTATTCTTTTTAGTTGCACTATGCTTGATTTATCATCATGAGTTAAAAATTATGTTTATTTCATTCTATATGGGGGCTGAGATGGACGATCTTATAGTCTATATTCATCATGGTTGGAGAGAGAGTCATTTGTTGGATGAGCAAGCGTACCATTGATTCCAAAATATTTGGGTGGATGACTAGATAAACACTGGACCATATATCTCTTATATTTTGAAACATGATGGTATTTTTTAGAAAAATGATTCTATTCATCTCTTGTTTCATATAGGAACCACATACTTCCATCGTCCAGAGGGGGACATCCTCCTTGCCCTCCGTGGATGAGCAACTCAAGCCCTTTATTGAAAGAGCCTGTAAGGTGAGGATGCCAGTCTTCGTAGGGATGGAGATTGACAAAAATCTTCTTAGGATCTTGATAGAGTGGTTAGTGGTGGAGGAAGAAGACACACATCTTTTACTTTATCAAGGGAGAGATGACGATCACGTTGAAGGACAATCATCTTTCACATTCCTAACATTCATCCTAACGCAAGTTATATATTCCTTACTTAGGTGGAGTGGAGCTACCACAAGAGAACGCTAACCTAAGCATTATTTCGAGTAGTTTCGCGAACACCTAGGCTATATAGAGTTTAATGAGCTAACCATTTGCTATTGTATGTACTTGATGGTTTTGATTAATATGCTAAATCAATTTCATTGTTATTGTAGGTGAATCTTACTAGCATTGTCGAGATTTATGGCTTGAGACACCCCACTGATCAACCAAATTGATCGATCAATGTGCCCGCCATTTGCTTTAAAAATTTTGAGTGATGTGTTCCAGATGGCAGATAGATGCGTGAGGCATTTTCAATGGCAACAACCAATTTCTACAATACCACGTGATGGGGTTAAAGACCTCCACAAATAGAACAAGATTTGTGGGTGGTATAATTGATTGGACGAGTAAACTTCATCTCTAGATGAGTGTATAGGAGAATAGAGCGACATATAGAGTTGATGATATCCCAATGACTATGCCAATGAGTGTACCAAGACAAGTACATGATTTGGTACCGCAAGTTCACCAAAAGATTGGTAACTAAACGTGGTGTCGTGATCTAATTTATGGTAAGTTAGCACCTAATTAAAGACTTTTCTACTTTATTTAAGATAGAAATATTCCCACTAACTTTGTCAATGCCTGTGAACTTGGTTCATGAGTTGGAAGTTCAAAGTGAGAGTGGAGAGTGAACAAACTATGGCGCCCGAGAAAATGTCATTGTTGAGTAGACTTTTCAAGAACATCTCTGTGTTGTATGTGACAGCATTAGAGGGAAACTGTCATCTATCCACCAACACATGCACCACCACGTCTTTCATCTCGCAACATTAGTGCCCAACCCTCACAGTCGCCGCCAAGGAAAAATAGAGGTCGCACTAACCCAGTACAAATCCTCGTGCAAGAAAGAGAAGCGATGGCCCTTGTAGACACACATGAGTGCGAATTCGCGCGATCATAAGGGAATTCGGAGGAGGATAATCAAACTCAGGTCCTTCCACTAACAATTGGTAGGAGGATCATTAAGTCCTTCAATTATGGGTTCCCCAACGTCGGCCATCAGTTCCACGCCTCACAACCAACCTTCCATCACTTGATGAGCAATATCTACAGTCCTTCTCCATCCACTACAACACATCTCCACTTCCACTTCCAACCGCTATTTCGGATGGACGTCAATTTCGTGATAGACTCATAAACCAAATATTTGGACGATGATGTGGTGCATGAGGAGCCAATGTTAAGAGAGATGAGTGACTTGCAAGATTGTTGCATTTTGTAGAGGTGTTTTGATGTTTGGTGTATCTTGATACTTAGTGATGTTGGAACTCTTGGTTGAATGAAAAGATTGGTTCGCTGCAGTCAGTCGCTAACAACTCGACAAACCATATGTTGTTCTCTCCAGAGACCAATAAACAAGTCTGCAAACACTACTAAGTTGTTTGCTTCGGGCACCATCGATTCATGAAAAATAGCTTCGCAATTTTAACGATAAACATGAATCGCTTAAATGCGAGTTACGTTACTAAATTCGCGGATCGACCTAGCAATGCATGAAACGTTTACATTTGGAGAATTTTTTGAGTATGATATGTAGTTTTTTTTTTTAGCAAGAGAGGCAGAAATTACCTCTTCGGTTTCCCTCTTTTCTTTTATTTATTTTTTCTCTTCCCCCCATACGATGAAAAGGAGGAGAGAGATAGGGAGAAGAAAGGAAAGGAAAGGAAAGGAAACCTTTGAGGTGGTGAGTAAGCCGGTTTGGCAGTGCAGAAAACCGCTCTTCCTCTCCCATTATATACCTCCACCTGCCTTCCATTCCTCCCTTCCCTTCTTCTCCCCCATCCTTGTCTCTCTATTTCCCTCTGCAACTCCAGGTACTAAAATCGCAAAAAGGGTTAAAAAATAGATCACTACCGTCATCTTCTTTGCCGATCGAGTTCATCCGTAGCTTGCTAGATTCATCCAAGCTTTCACCATTCCCTTCCAAGTTCTCCATCTCCCTCTTTTCGGCTGCTCAAAATAAAGCTCTTCTTCATTTAAGTCCAAAGGAAAGGATCGAATGGGCGTGCATGCATTGCACCACCACTGTTCCTCTTAATTACTTCCCCTCTCCTCTCTCACTTTTCCTTACAAAAAGAAGAAAGAAAGAAAAAGAGAAGAAACACAAGGCCACCCGCCACGCCCACCGTCACTACTAGTTCAACTTCATTCTTCTCCCAGCGTCACTATCGTCATCATCATCGTTTCCAATCTCCATGTCGCGGTAACCAAATCCATGATGGGAAGCTTTTAGACCCAACTGATTCTGAGGTAATAATGATAATAATCTCCGTGTGTGCTTATTTCTCTTTTGTTTCTCTGTTTGTTTGCTAGTGCCCAAAAAAAAGAAAAAAAAAAAGCAGAAGAACAAGAAGAAGAGAGGAAAGGTGAGCGTGTCTCAGTATCTAATGGCGTTATTTGCTTCTTTGGACTTTTGATCAGTAAAGTTGAAATTAGCAGCAGGACTACCGCAAAAACTGCCCAATCGCAGTATAAAGTTTGAATAGAAAGAGAAAGAAGAAGCTAGGTAGAAGAAGAAAATGGCACCAGCACCCGCAGCAGCAAGCAACTGGCTCTCGTTCTCTCTCTCTCCCATGGAGATGCTGAGGTCATCCTCTTCCTCCTCCACCGCCGATTCTCAGTACCTCACCTACGAAGCCGCCGCCGCCGTCGCTTCCTCCAATCCTTCCCCTCACTACTTCCTCGACAGCTACTACTCTCACGGTACTAGTCTTTTTTTTTTTTTTTCATTTTTCCCTTGCACTAACTTCTGTTTGGTTCTAGGGATTGATTATCGTTTTTTTTTTTTTTTGTTGTTGTTGTGGGGGAAAGGTTGGGGGAATACGAAGGAAGCACAAACAGCTACAACCATGGCGGAAACTGCTCTTCTCACGAGCTTCATGGAGCAGCAATCAGGCGGCGGCCAACACCACCACCACCACCAACCTCCGCCGCCGAAGCTGGAGGACTTCCTTGGCGGCGACTCGTCCGGGTCCATGGTTCGCTACTCGGAACACAGCCAGACGGAAACTCAGGACTCGTCCTCCTTGACTCACATCTACGACAACGGCGGCGGAGGCGCCGCCTCGTACTTCAACAACGAGCACCAAGATCTGAAAGCGATTGCCGCCGGCTACCAGGGCGCCTTCTCCTCCAACTCCGGCGGATCCGAGGTCGACGACCAGATTGGGGGCGGTGGCGGTGGGGCCGAGTTCATGGCGGCGGGCGGTGGTCACTCGATTGAGTCGGCGGCGGGCAACGAGTTGGGGTTCTCGACTCGCAGCAGCAACGGGTTATCCCTTGGGGTTGCGAATAATAATAGCAATAATCATCATCATAATATTCCGATCAACTCTTCTCCGCCTCCCGCTGACAAATCCGTGGCGGTGCTCGCCGTGGTCGAATCCGATTGCTCGAAGAAGCTCGGCGATACTTTCGGCCAGCGGACTTCCATTTACCGAGGCGTCACGAGGTTAGTCTATCGCCGCCGTCTCCATCTTCTTCCCTCCCCCCGCATTCCATATCTGAAATTTGAATCTGTTCATGCAAAAGGAGTACTCTAGAAGCAGTAGAGCTTGATTATACTGTTGATTGATGTGTGACAGGAGTGATTAATTAGTTAATTAATCAGTCTAATTAAGGCGCATTTCTCGTGTTCAATGGATGAACTAGTTAATTAACTTTTTTGTTTGGCAATGGTGGTGGTGGTGGTGCAGGCATAGATGGACAGGTAGATATGAAGCGCATCTATGGGATAACAGCTGTAGGAGAGAAGGTCAAGCCAGAAAAGGACGTCAAGGTCTTTCTCTCTCTAACTCTGATCCTCTCTCTCTCTCTCTCTATCTCGTCTTTGCTTTACATTCCTGATTTCCGAGGGACGAGATGGGTACCTTTGATTTCATCTGGGTAATATATATATTTGTTGGTGAGACGCTGGAGAGATACAACAGATTGTTGCATGCGCTGCTGTGGCTCTGGGCATTAAATTGGATTTCTGCAGAGACTGAAATGAACGTTTCTGATTTCTTCCGCCATTGAGTTTTCTTTTCTTCCTTTTGAGCGAGCTTTGGAACCTTGCATAGAGAAAGAGAGAGAGAGCCTGAGGCCTTTTCTGATGATTGATGCGTACCAGTTTGATGGAGACAAGTATATACATTTTTTCTTTCTTTTCGTGGGAGGGGATTTTCTTTACTTGGATTCTTCATTCTTCTTCATATTTGATATTACTGATGCTAGTGGCATTCATTTCTTTCAGTCCCTTGGTTTGATTGATTTGATAAGATGGGCCGCCATTTTGTTACAAATTTCCTTCCTTTCCTTTTTTTCCACACAACTCCGATAACATCACCACCTGGGTCCCCCCCCTCCCTCTACAGTCTCCACACCCTCACCATGCCTTCTCCCTCTGGCCTCTGCTATTCATTACCCACAGTCCCACATCCTTTTTTGTTTCTAAGTTTAAAGGTAAACAATGTTGTCAAAAGTTCGATTCTACGAGCAATCATTTTGGTGACCTGGAAGGTTAAAAAGCTTAGGCTTTAAAACGTGATTTTGATTACATTGTTGCACAGAATGCTGTCGAAAGCCCATGTAGAAGCATTTTCGTGACCTAAAAGTCTGACTAATGGTTTGCACTACGCTTGTGATTACGTGGGAAATACTGAGATTTCCATAGAGTTTGAACGATTTACATGGAATTTGAACGGACCACCTCAAAATTATAGTCATGTCCATTGTTGTTGTCGTTGATAGATATAGCTAGGCCAATGGTTCCTTGGGTTATTAATGAAAGAAACTTCTTTTTTCTGTTTCTTTGGCGTTTTCCAGTTCTGCTTTTTTCTCTTTTCCCTTTCAGCCAAAAGGGTTGTTTAGGTTTGACCAAACCACGTACTACTGTTTCCATTTCCCAGACTTCCTCCCCTTCTATTCTTCCTTTTCCCCCCTGCTTTTTCTCTTTGCTGTTTTCTTTTGAAAAATGTTTGTACAGAGAGAGTAATGTAATGTGACATTGTTGTGACAACCCTTCCTTTCTCCCTTCCTCCAACATTATTGCCGTAACTTGCTGACAATGGTTTGCCATCCTAGTAACTGCGGCCCGCCCCATAAAATGCTGATCCTTTCACACATAAGGAAATGCCACCTTTTTATTAAACAATATATCGTCAATGCATGCTCTCTCTTTACTGTGCAAACTGTGTATCTACTGATTGAGATTCCTCATAACAAAAAATATAGATTATTGCAATATGGCCTGGCCGATGTGAGTGACTCACATGGTGTATCTATTATTCCTTTGGAGTGACATTATTGGATGTTATTTTCTTCGGGATCTTTTTTTGACCTTGTATATCGGATTCTTACATTGAAATGGTTGTTTTCTTGCTGGTATGGGGAAATTCTGGATGGCCTGTACCTGTTTCACATTTTGGGTTGCCTGCCTCTCTCCTGCAGTGTACTTAGGTAAAGCTGACTGAACTCTGCAAACCCCCTCCTCCCCACTTGGTTTCCTTGATATCCAACTTTCTTGGTTATCTACTACCTGGAATAGTTTCATTTCGTTTTTTTTTTTTTATTATTGTGTACTGAAAAGTGCAAAACCTCATTATTGGGTTTCAGGTGGATATGATAAAGAAGATAAAGCAGCTAGAGCTTATGATTTGGCTGCCCTCAAGTACTGGGGCCCCACCGCGACGACCAACTTCCCTGTAACTATCTTTTCCCCGGTTTTGGTTCTTCCTCGAGCGATGGTTCACTCTATTCGCTTGGATTGCGTCTTTGTTTACAGATTGTTTTGTGGCTTTGCAGGTGTCTAATTATAACAAGGAACTGGAAGAGATGAAGTATGTATCAAAACAGGAGTTCATTGCCTCGTTGAGAAGGTAAGCTACTCATAATCTGCCAGGTTTTTTTTAACAGTTTCTGTTTGTTTTTCCACTTCAATTAACATCAAAATGTTACGTTTTACGTAAAATCTAATTTATTGTTCAGGAAAAGTAGTGGATTCTCCAGGGGGGCTTCCATATACAGGGGTGTTACAAGGTTAGTATTTGATTGTGATTTCGTTCTCCAGTTGCATAACATATGGTGACGATGCTCTCTGATTATTTATGGTCCAATCCCTGTAACGGCAGGCATCACCAGCAAGGTCGTTGGCAAGCAAGGATTGGACGTGTTGCTGGGAACAAAGACTTGTACCTCGGCACATTTGGTAAGCATTTAAGCATGTTAGTTTGGTGCTTTGTTAAATTTACTGGCAATATGAAAGCCACTTGAAACTGGGGAGAAAGACCTCTAAACTTTAACAAAACATTGGGCAGCCACTGAAGAGGAAGCAGCAGAGGCATACGACATAGCAGCCATAAAATTCAGGGGCTTGAATGCAGTGACAAACTTCGAGATGAATCGCTACGACGTGGAAGCGATCATGAAGAGTGCCCTTCCGATTGGTGGAGCAGCAAAGCGACTAAAAATCTCTCTGGATGCCGAGCAGAAACCAACGCTGATGAGCCATGATCAGCAACTACAACAGCAGCAGCAGCAACAACAGTGCAACAGCAATAGCATCAGTTTCGGTTCGGTTCAGCAACCGCTTTCAACAATCCCTTGTGGTATCCCCTTCGACGCAACAACTGCCTACTACCACCATCACCACAACTTCTTCCAGCACATGTCCAGTGGTGGCAGCAACCCCGGTGGAGGAGACTCCTCTGGTTCGGCCTCGAACATGGAGAATTCGATGAGCTCCATATTGCCACAGACAACAGACTTCTTCCTGTGGCCTCATCAGCCTTACTAATTTCTTAGAGAAAAAGAGAGGTTTTGCTGACTTGGGAACCTGCTAACAGTAGTGAGCTTTAAGAAAAGCATTGTTCTTCCCCTCTGAATAGAAGTTCATCTCAACAATCTGACCCGAGACCGTGGGACTCTTTCTGACCCGTAAAAGTATGTAGGTTGCGGTTGAATTATGCCGGATTAGGAGCAGGAAAAATGGTGGTGTTAAAGTAGGTTTAAGTTCCTTTCTGTTTTTCTTCCTTTTCAGTTTTCAGTAGTCTAGAAAGCGATGTTCAGTAAGCAAGCTTGGTGGTGGTGGTGGGAATTTTGTAAGTAGCATCATGTAGTTGAATGATGGGTTTCTCGGGCAATGGCATCCTTTTCCAGAACTTTAAGCGGATTTTGTTTATTTCTTCAGAGTATCTTGAATATTCCTTCAAGTTTTCAGTGGCCTTTTTTTTTTCATTTTGTTCATTGCAATTATTCTGTTGTGTATCCAAGTTCCAAGACTGGGTGTGGAGACTTGGTCAATGAACAGAGAGCAGAGTATCTATCAGGTATTCAGGTGGGAAATGGAGGATTGGTGGTGGTGGGAATTATTGTTTTACTGCAGTCGATGAGAACAATGATGGGTTCCTCTCCCTCTCATTACGGGCTGCCTCTGCTGTAAGTGGTGGAAGGAATGGATTGAAAAGGAGGACGAGGTTGATTGATTATTACTTCCTGCATCAATTTCCATGGGTTGGTTGGTTGGTCACCTTGAGTTCTCGTAGGAATCCATTGATTTCGATATCAGTGCCATTAAAATCCAAGCATTCTGAAATCCCAACGTATTGGCGATTGTGTATTTAATACATCTGCCAACGATGCACCAAGTGGGTCAACATGTTTGAAGCTAGCGGTTATGGCGATTGCTTGATTGGTATTCACTTCCGTTCTATTTTAACCAGTTCACCATAGAGTCGGGAGAGACGTTGAACGATGACGATATTTGCAGCATGATCTGCTAATACAACCTAATATCGAGAGGAGCTCGAATCGATGAATTGCTTGGATGCCAGAACGTGTGTGAAAGTCGATTCCAACAGGAATTTGATGTCTCCATTGTTACATCAGACAGATTGAATATGAAGGTGTTCACAACGTTTGCTTTAGTTCCAGTCAAGTCTCCAACAAAGTTCATGCAAAATCTAGCAATGCAATGAGGCAGGAATTTTTTTTGTTACAAACATGGAAGAGAAACAAATGTAGTTGCAATCCGGTTTTAATTAGTTCACCATTGAGTCGGATGGAGAGACCATGGGCGCCGATGTACAGCCCAATATGGGTGAAAGATTCAACCACCTGATGTCGAGGACGGAAGCTCTAATTGATAAATTGCTCAGCGGATGCCTTAAAGTGTGTTAAAGTCGAGTTTGTGGGGAAATGATGTCTTCGATCATTACATTGGAATGTGAAGGTGTTCACAAAGTTTGCCTAGTTCAAGTCTTAAACAAACTTCATGCAAAATCTAGCAATGCAATGAAGTAGAAATATTTGTTACAACATCAACATGGATGAGAAAAGAAATAGGTGCAAATGTTACGAGCTCAATCCGCCAAGTGCGTCGAGAGCAAGCTTAGAATTGGGCTCAAACTTCAGGGCCTCTGAGTAAGCCCATTTAGCATCCTCCTTGGATCCTTTCCACTCATAGCACTGGCCCAACAAGCAATACCCTTTCTCCCCACTCGCGCCCAGCTGCACGGCCACCGTCAGGTCCTCGATCGCCGAGTCGACCCGCCGCCGCCGATTCACGGCGACCTTGAGCTCCGCTCTCTTCACCAGCGCGTCGCCTCGCTCCTTCCCCTGCAGCGCCTTCCCGCGCGGCGGCGAGAGCGCGGAATCGATTGCCTTCAATGCGGCGGCTTTGTGGCCGAGGAGATCGAGGGCGACGGATTTGAGGACGAGCGGGGCCGGGTCCTTGGGGGAGAGGGCGGCGGCGGATTCGGCCTCGGCGAGGGCTTGTTTGGCTAGGGATTGGGACTGGGAGGAGTTCTTGGCGGCGGCGGATCTGGCTCGGGCGAGGAATTGGGAGCCTTGGATGAAGTGGCGGTTGGATTGGAGGGCGGTGCGGTTGTTGGCTCGCTGCCTCGAGAGGAATAGCTTGGAGAGGTACTGGATTGCGACGAATACGGCGACGGTGAGTGCGATGATCGCCACTTGGAAGGCGCCGTCCGTCGCCATGGAAGAGAAGCGGAGGTGGGGAAGCAGGTGTAGGGTTTGAGTCAAAGTGAGGGCGGGGGGTTTCGGCTTTCGTGGGCCGGGCGGTGGCCTTTGGAAGACCCAAATCCAGATCGCGCTGGCAGCCGTCCTTGATTTATTGTTTCGGTTTTTTTCTTTTCTTTTTACAGTGAAAATGTGTGCCGGAGAGTGAGTTACTGAGTTCTCAACTTCAGGTACATTTTTGGTATAGCGATGGAATCAAACTAATGAGCTAGACTACGAATTTATAATATTGATAGTTTGATACCTTATAAAAGGTTTCGTAATTCATATGTTTCGATCTTCTCCCTCCGCCACTACTCCTATTCGTTATCAGTCGCAGATTAACAATGTAATCTATCATCTAGGGATACAGGGGTGTAGCCAGGATTTCGACCAGGGTGGGTCTACTTTGAAAAAATATATATGATGAAATAACTTTTGTTAATTTTTTTAATTATTCATAATATAATTTTATATTTAAAATTTTTTATAAAATAAAATACATTAATAGTCAAAACTATTAAGAATATCACTCTCTCTATATACCAAACATTTATTCATAATTTAGTTATTCGGTCGCTTTCGAATGATGTTATTTGCCAATAATTATTTACTATAGGTTTAATAATGAATCTTATACAAATAATTATTCATGATTTAGTTATTTGTTCGCTTTCGAATTGTGTCCTTTGTCAATAACCATAGTATCAATAACTAGAGTTGTTGGTTGAAGTTCAATAATATATTTTATACCATTTACCAACATACCCCGTTATAAGAAAATCAAATTATGTGGAATTTAAGTTTGCACAAATTCGAATACTATATGTGCTTAATGAATGAGGTCGTCAAAACTAGAACACAAAACCTTTCGATCAACGATTATCAATTAAACATACTCTAATTTTCCGAATCAATTAATTGTTATACCTAATTTAGTCCTTTTTTTCCGAGCTAGAGTGGGTCCCGGGACCCACCCATTTGCCCTCTCCCTCCGCCCCTGTAGGGATACAATAAAAAATAATTCAACAATATCAATAGACAGTTAGGCACCAATCACTTCTATGTAATACATTTATTAAGGAGCGCTCTTTATTGCTTTCCTTTAATTATTTATTTTTTCTTGGAGTTTTTTTTGCTCTTTGTTGTCAAATGCAGGAGTTGTTGTTGGTAAGCAGAAATTAGGGTGAGGTTGGGAAGACTATTATGGTGGAAATCGTTTTAGTTAAATTGGAGTTGTTATAATGGAGGAGTGGGTGATCATTCCGGCCCGGCAATGCCCAAGCTCCTCGTATCTCCAAAATACTGGTATAGGACGTATTTGCTTTGAGCTAATATAAATATCATGGTTCTGAAAAGCACGTATAGATATTCGACTAACCTTGTTTAGGCGCCAGTTAGAAGGAAAAGTCCCGCATTGACAAAAAAGTGGATAAGGCGGCACGATCACTTTGGAGCTGAAGGGTTAAAGGTCGTCCTAAAAATTACTAATCGTCGTCCTAACTTAATACGTAAATTACTGAATTACCCTTTTAAAATTAAAAATCAAACCCTACACACCCCTTCCCAAACACTCCCCTTCCCAAACAATCCCCTTCCCCACGCCGGCGACCCGCCGCCCCACGCCGCCACGCCGGCCGAGCTTCCCGTCCCCGTCAGCCGCGCCCCCGTCGCCGTCAGCCGCTTCCCCGTCGCCGTCAGTCCGCACTCGTCCTCGCCGTCCGCCGCGCCACCACTCGCCGTCGCCGTCAGCCCCTCCTCCATTCGCCTGCCGTCCGTCCTCGCCGGAGAAGGTAAGTCTGCCGTCCGTCTCGCCCTTCAACGACCGAAGCCGCCGTTCGGTTGGCCCTCGGTCAAACCGATGTCAACGTTCGGTTGGCCTTCTGTCAAACCGAAGTCAACATTCGGTTGAGCCATGGTCAAACCGAAGTCAACTTTCGGTTGAGCCATGGTCAAACCGAAGTCAACTTTCGGTTGAGCCATGGTCAAACCGAAGTCAACTTTCGGTTGAGCCATGGTCAAACCGAATTCAATTTTCGGTTGGTTTTATTTTTAAATAATTTTAATGCAATTAATTAATAAAAATTGTTATTAAATATTGTAAATCAAGTAATAATTAGAAATAATTGTAGTTAATTATGAATAAGTTGTACAGTTTATAATTTATTATAAAAATTATATTCAAATAGTTTATGAATTAAATTATGAAAAAAATATTGTGAATAATGTAATAAAAATTATTAAAATTTATCTGAAATTTTTAAAAAGTATCAAAATTTAGAAATATAATCTTTAAATTTGTAATTAATGTTAAAAAAATATTAGAATAATGGGAAAATTAAAAAGTAGTCGAAATTAGAAAAAAAGACTAAGAAAGTTGTAATTAATGTTAATAAATTATCAAAAAAATTACAAAACAATTAGAGAAAATTATCAGAAAATGTTAATGCATTTGATTATCATTAATTGTAATTCTTTTTTTTTTTTAAGATGTCTGGACATGGAATAGGCAAACCGTACATGAATAAGAAAAGAATGGAAGAAAAAGCGGAAGGAAGAATGGAAGGTCGTGCTTGTAGACTTACAGCGACTGGTAGAAAAGAAAATGAAGAAAAAAAATCCACGTAAGGTTAAGGGGAAGAAGAAGAGGGCAGAAATTGGGCGTCCCGACGGTCTCCCCACTATGGGACAGTTATCTCTTAGTCGAGGTACTACCTCCACCCCTACTCCTGAGGATGCGACGCCGTGGGAGGCTAATTGGAGTGATTCAGTTTCTATGGACGACGACGACGATGACGATGATGATGTGGCTGTTGATGAGGTTGAGCATGTCCCACCTGAATCTGATGTAGGCATCAACGAGTTGGGACATCTTCTACAGCTTCAGGCGTGGATATATGAGTACTTTCCACTCTTCCGTCCGAGCCAGATTCTCCTCGTGCTTCCTCGTGGGTGTGTCACCGCTTTGCAGGTGGTGATGATGCTAGACACCGCTTGGTACGGTACCGACAGATGTTGGATGAGATGTCAGGGGAGGATGTGTCTTAGACTCCTTATGGGCGAGATGCTGGCACGGAGGTACTACGCTCTTTGTATGCTGGTGTCATTCGCTTTGCTGACGTTGCTGAGGGTTATGATCCTGCACGGTGTCGCCGACAGTTTGGGTACCGACAGACTATCCCTCGTACGATGATGGTTCCCAAGGATGTGTACCGCCCAGCTTCTTGCAGCACCTACATCGTTTTCTGGGAGGGTAGCATGGATCAGTTATGGGGCAACTTGCCGTCTCATTTTCTACACATAGCGATTGATTCTGACTTGTGCGAGTATCCATCTGAGGCCGATGAGGATTACATGGACTGGTACCGGACTCGATCGCACCCACGGATCATCAATCCGGACTCTGGTGGAGTGTCCCTACTGCGGCCAGTGCTAGTCGATGAGGTTAGTTATGTCATAATTGTTCAATTTTTAATGTATTGTTACTATGCTTTTTTTTTCATTCATGACATTTTTGTATTTACAGTTGAGGAAGCAGATTGTGGAGAAGCTTGGTCCTGTGTTGGTGGTGAGGGACAATGATAACTATGTGGAGCATGCATCTGAGTACTACGATATGATGAGTGTGGTTCACGAGTTGTATGACCAGTTAGTCGGAAAGACTCCTTAGTGGAGTGTGGCATTTCTAGATTGTTATCCTTGTACTTTATTTTTATTTGGAATTGCTAGTTTGTTTATTTTTATTTGGAATTGCTAGTTTGTCTTTGCCTGTGAGATGATCTAACTTTTGGAATTTTCAGATGATTGGACTTTGTTTCTTTTGCATTTCTAAAATAGTAAATCAAGATTTGCATCAAATACAATAACTACAACTACCTCTAACCATCAACCGGCTGGGTTTAAACTATCATAAAATTGGCGTTCTTGTGAGAAGAATTGGTCTCAACCATGGACACTAGGATCATGATAAATAGGCCAAATCCCATTAATCAGAGGCAATGGCACTTGACCAGGTCGAAAGTCAAGACGCACCCAATGACATCCCGTAAAATATAGTGATACGATCCCTTGTGGTCTTGTTACTCCTGGTGGGGCAATCACAGGTAGCACGGTATAACGACCGCCTTGACTATAGACAACAATTACCCATGAATGCAATGTGGCAAAGATGAAAAGCTCCACATTATCCATCCAGTGGGTAACGCCACAACCACGATCTTGAGTCCACCTGCAACGCCGAAGCCCATTATCTATTCCGTCGTAAATTCCATCGTAATATGGTCTGTAAAGCTCAGGTCGGGCTTCAAGCTCTTCTACAACAACGCGTCAAATCTGCAACCAATTGTTTTGGGACCCGGTAAGTGCTTGTGATCAGGGGTGGTAAATGGTAATCCGGTAAACGGTTTACCGTTTTAACGAACCGGTAACCGACGGTAAACGGTAAACCGTTTACCGGCGGTATCGGTAGCCGAGCGGGAAGTTGGGGTAGTCTGTTTACCGGACACGGTATCGATAAATACCGACGGTAAATCGGTATTACCGATACCGAATCCCCCCTCCCTACTCCCTAGTGCTACGCTGCGTTTTGTTGCTTTACCCCAAAAATATAAAATATTACATACATGAATGTAAGTATAGGCCTAAAAATATTGTAAATAAGAGTTAATAATAAATTATTAATTACAAAAATGATGAAAAAAACTCAAAAAAATCAAAATATTACAACATCACCCCACTTCCAGAAATTCGGTTCAGTAAATATTCGGTAAACCGACCGAAAAACCGCCCGAAATCGCTTCTCACGGTATTTCGGTAATACGGGTTTGTAACCGTTTACCGGTAATTTGGTAATCGGTAAACCTGTTACAAACTGGTATCGGTAATCGGTAACCAGTTTGGCCAACTTCGGTATACCGAAACCGGTAAATTCGATAAACGGTAAATTGTTTACCGACCGAATCCCACCCCTACTTGTGATGTTGCTCGAAATCCGCAATGTCCATCCGGTTCTGGGTTGAACCAACCACGAATGTATGGTTGCACGTATGTTTCCAAACAATACAACCACGGGTAACTCGGCCAACCAGTATTGGGAGTCCTGATAACCTTCCAAGGGGCACCATCTGTCCCAAAATACACAATACAATGAATTAATACAAGAGGTATACAACATATAATCATCTAAAATAGGGACACTACTTCTAACCTGTATCATTA